ATCAAAAAGTATTGTACACGTATTTTTTCTTTTTTCACATTATATAAACATTGCAGAGATATTCTGATTTGAAAATTCGCATAACGTCACGTTTTATAATTAAACAAGTCAAACTTCCAAACTTTGACGCGCTATAACTTTGTCATTTTCTGGTTGATTGCCCAAAGAAAAGATACGTGTCCATTATTTTTTGATCATCTAACTGACGGACTAAATAGAATTTCGTTTACTGTACCCCGTCATTACCCCTATTGTGGAGATTCAATAATAATAACAAAAAAACAAAACATAGAAGCCTAGTATAACTAACTAATTATTATATTGGTAAATTTTCTTATACATACATCTAATTTTCGAGGAGGAAATCGTCGAGAGCCAAACCTTTTTGTAATTTTTATACGCAATTTTCAGCAATAGCTACTGTTGTCCGAAAGCATTTGCTATTTACGGTACTATCTACAGTATTTGCCAATGTGCGAGAGTAATAGTTTTTTCAAATACCTATTTTTCAAATGTCTTTCAGCTCGTGTCCGCTCTTAAATGACTATTGTCCGGGACTAGTACCCGTTGGACCCTCAAGATTCGACCCAAAAGCAAAAAGTGCCCATTTTACCTCTTTTTTGGTGTCCATTGGACCTTCTTAAAAAGTTTTATATTCAATGTGCCCATTTGACCTCTTTTTTGGTGCCCATTGGACCTTCTTAAAAATTTTATATTCAATGTGCCCATTGGACCTCTTTTTTGGTGCCCATTGCCCGCGACTTGGTCAGCGGTAACTTCCTTTTTTTGGGAATCCCTCCGGAATAAAAAGTAGCCATATCTATAATCCAGGTCACAAGGCGGGAGCATCGTGGGGTGACATCGGTGTGTCAAATATTTATTTTTTTACATTAGTTTTTTAAGTAAATCTGTTTGTTACTAACCCACTATGGATCCATTGTTATCCGAAATAAATGATATTATTATAAGCAATATGCGTACCTAATTTCATCCAAATCAGTTTAGTAGTTTTTTGCGTAATTGAGTAACAAAGATACAAACTTTCACACTTAGAATAGGATTAGTGTGGCTGAAAACTTAAAAAATTAGCTGTAATTATAACTTGTTATATCTACTCGCTCTTAATAGGCTATTAGGATAGGCGTACAACGTACAACCTACATAATTATCTGTATGAAGAAAATTAGGAAATCCTAGCAGCCCTCTGAAGGAAAACCGTACATAAAAACTAACAGAAGACCTATGTAGCGTGATTCCATCCTATTTGACTAATGACGCGCACCCATTACTCCGCTCCATCTAACGAGTAAAGCGTAGGTACAACCCACTTTTTCTTCGCAAAGGAATAAAGAAAAATATAAATAGGAATACATGGAATGTATTTACGCTCTAATTTGCAAATATCCTTTAGGAAAGTCTTACGTGGAACGTTTCATCTCATCACTCTATGTTATTTCATCAACCGTTATTAGGTTACTTTTTTCCTCAGATTACAGAACAAAGGAGGAGCTCGATGGCGTGGGTTGTTAGCGCGCTCGGCTGCGATCGTTGAAGTTGAGCAACTTTCGCGGTGGTCGGTCATTGGATGGGTGACCAAAAATCTTCTATCTCGAGTCCCTCCGTGCTTCGGAAGGCACGTTAAGCCATTGGTTCCGGCTGCATCTGCAGTCGTTAGCACCCGCCAATCCGCATTGGGCCCGCAAGGTGGGTCATGGCCCAATCTCCCTATTCCATCTATACGGAAGGCCTGTGCACCAGCAGTGGGGACATTAATAGGTGATAATGATGATGATGATGATGACAGAACAAAATGCAGATGGAGAAAAAACTGTGCCGCCTTATTCATACATCATAAAAACGGTTCACAAAGACAAAAAAAGCGTAAAGTTTTGACTTCATATTTGCTTTGGTGGCACACATTGCATGTACCATGCGCTCTATCTGCCTTTTGTTCCGTAATCTGAGGTTATTTGTAAGATTATCCATTGTCTAGTCTAGATTTCAAAATTTTCGAATAAAAAATGGGTAAAATACATTCTTTAAATACACAAGCAAATAACATTTATTTAGGTAATTAAATAACTACTTATTATAAAATCTGTTCAAAATAGTATCACAGTGGAGCCGACCTGCGGGTCAATTATGCTTTAGTGATATAATCATAATGTGATTTCAATATGATGTTGATGCCAACTTGACATTGTTTTTAAATTGGTATTATGAAACATTCCTATGTCACATCAAGATCATATCAATATCATATCTTGTACCTATCACATTTTTGACGTTTATGCGATACTGTTTTAAGTCAAAAAGTTGAACGTAATACGCATTTAAGTTGATATCATTTTAAAGAGTTGATCATAATAGGTACGCATAAGTTGATGTCATTTTGATATCGCATTTTTCGGAGAGCATAATACGTAATGTGAAATTGACATCAAAACAATATCACAATTAGCGAGCATAATTGGCCTGCAGTGCAGTGGCTGCCGACGCGACGACTATTTTATAGGTGATACCGTTATAAAGCCGTTCGTGCGAGTTACTTGCTGCGTTTATATAAAAAATCGTGGCTATCGATTGCGGACGGCTAAACAGCCGTCACGCAGACGTTGGAAAGTTGTTTGTCTGGGTTAGGTCCTACGATAAACTGCAGAAAATCTCAGAAAATCGACGGTTTCGACTGTTAGAAACGACAAAAAACAATGGAGAGGTTCGTTATGTGATTTGCAGGCGACGGCCGCCGACATGCTGCATCTGTTGTTTGCAGCGAGCAGATGGTGCGAGAAGACGTCCGTCTACTGCGTTTCTATACGAATTTGTAGCCACCTACTGCGGACGGCAAAAAGCTATTACGCAGTCACTGGAAAGTACTACATCTAAGTTAGCACTTAGCATGAGCCCGTCCGGCTCGAGGACCATATTAAACCGGACTATGACATGACTACGATGTTTATTATATAAATATTTTTGAGCATTTAACTTCTAGAGAGAAGTAGAGAGATTTCTTCTTCTTTAATTAAAAGACTGCGTCTACGATAACTGTCTCGTTTACGACTACGATGTATTGATGTTAAATTAACGTAAACATTCATAGAAATAAACAAAATAAACTTAACGTATCTTGTAGATCCCTTCGAATAATATTGATTCCGAAAAGGTAACACACAGCATGTTCCCGTCTTCCATCCCATTGCAGGTCTCTTCGAAAATTGGTTATCATCCGTAACTAAATACAAAAACAAAGCAATTTAATACCTACCAATTTTGAAACTAACCTGACAAATCACATGTGCTTAATAGTGTTACGGATCCTAACTCGAATCTAACAAGGCTGTCCTTTGCAATTAAAATGACATTAAATTAATCAAAAGCGCTAGGGATGATTAATTATTTTCTTGGTACGAATAATTAATCAAACAAAGCTTGTTAGAGAACATTGAAATCCTTCAAATTACGAACGAATTAATCTTGTCGTTAGTGGCCATTATGAATGGAGAATCGGTTCAAACTGTCCAATTGCTGGGTGATGACCACTAATATTTGTAAAGAAAGAAGATACTTTAATCCTTTACAAGCTTGGCAGAGCACCTGAATATGACCTATATGATCATATCATGTGTCTAAACTGTCATTGCGGCAAACTGTATTTTTGGGCCTAGTAGTTAATACTTCTCACTAGGATAGGTTAGTGGTATGACCATAACGGCCGGCGAAGCGCCATTTGAAAAATTTAGTTCACAGTGACCTTTTCAATCAAAAAATGTGAAATGTCAGACATGGGCCTAGAAAGTACAGTTTTACCAGCATCTCCTTTCGAAGCAGAGCACAGCGGATAAGCCGCTAGAATTGAAGTCTGCAGGTGAAGTAACCTCCATCTTAGTCACCAAGTTATTTCTATAATTTTAACTCGAGGTGCGACAAACCACTGCACTGAAGTTAAATGTGGTCTGGGAGATGTGGTCATCTGTATGGTTGAGTTTACTTCCTCAGATGAGCGCTCGGGTGACGCTCAATTTGAGCGGAATATCCATTATACGGTAGGGCATTTAATATATATGTTATGGGCGAAGTGATTATTCGGGCATTATTTATAATGCCCGGGCAATATGAATAATGCCCAATAAGAGCGGTCAATGCGATTATAACCAATCAATTTATCACTTTGCCCGGGCATTATGAATAATGCCAAGTGCCTATTGGGCAGAGTGATGTAAAGCATGTTTAATACTTTCAAATGAATACTTAGTTAGATAGACCGAGCATTACAAGTAATGAAATAAATTATCGGGTAGAGTAATAATAAAAACATGTTTTAAAATTTAGTATTTATTTTAAAATTTTAAATAATCAGACTTCGGTTTTACTTCGACCAATTTACGAAGGGCTGTATTTAGAAATTATAGTCTATAGTAGTTTCAATGCAGTTTGTTTAAAAAAAATCATTAAATCAGTTAAATGTTCAGAATTTATGGTTCCCTATCTTTTAGGATGCAAGGACTAGGGAAGTAAGAACTAGTACTTCTGCCTTATCTCCCGCTCTGCGGGAATAGCAGCCCCTCCGCCTTTGCGTGACAAAGTCACAAGCATCACTCCCCTTTACACCACGATTCTTGCGACTTTGTCACAGCAGCCGGGGCTGCTCTCCCTCCGCGCCTCCGGGCCCTATAAAACACTCTAGGGGTAGGGCAGACCAAGACCACAGCGTGTCGGGGTTGACCAAGTCGGTTCTGAATTAAAGACTGTTGTAAAGCCACATTTACCTTTTTTTCTAAGTGTTGAGCCCATACCATTTTGCTCGTTGCCATCCCGCATCCCATCTTCGTCGCCACTGTAAAGTATGCGAGCACAGGGACTAGTGAAAGACTCGATGGCTGTCAACGCACTGATTTATTGAGTAGGTTAATACGTCGGCGCGGGCGCAGCCGCGCACACAAGCAAGACTCATACATAAAAATATACATATACTAAGACGCTAATTTTACATTTCTCTTGTTACAGTTGACACTCTCACCGTAAGACATGGACGAGAAGACGACTCACACAAAATTATCTTCGCACAATATAACGGGTAAGAAAGTCATACAATATGTCAAAATAAAAGAGATTAATTTAAGAAAAGTAGAGCATAGCGGATTTTCCCCTCGAATTGTAGCGCCCGTCTGGGAAAATAACCTCCACCTTAGAGAAGACCTTAGTAAAATTTCACTAGATTTTGGTGGTATTGTGATACTGTAGGTGAGTAAGTATCGCCGCACACGGGCCACACGCCACAGCCACAAACGCCGCCACGAGAAGCTAGAAGCGGCTACTAAAGGGGCTGAAGCGCGCGACAGCGGCCGACTAAGGCAAGGGAGAGAGGGGTGGGGAATCGCGCGAGTGACGTGTTGCGGAGTTTTGTATCGGCGCATTAAATGGCCGGTGCGGGCCACAAGAAGCGAGCAAAGACGATATGAAGCGTGTGGCGGCCACCGGCGTACCGTGTGTGGCGAGTCCATATAAAATGTATGAAAACTACAAGAAATATGTCGGTGGCGGCGTTTTGTAATTGTGGTCGGTGACTCGTGTGCGGCGACACTAAGGTTCGATCGCGAGTGGACGTATGAATCATACAGGTTGCTTATAATATTATAAATTAAAATTCTAAAATCGAATATAGGTAATATTTATAAGTTATAAAAAATGTTATAATATAGGTCAATGTAGGATAATTTTCGTGGCGTGGGAGCCTGGTGACCTGTACTACAGGCCTTTAATGCCTACTTCAGGCATCAGCTTCTTACACTTCAAATACGTAGTTATTGATATGTTTAATGATGGCAGATGCTTAATCGTTTGTATTTGCTTAAATTATCTATAAGTTTTTGTAAATTTCAGTGTGTGAGAAGAGAACAAATAAATATTATTATTATTGCCTTACAGGGTAACTACTTGGTTGGTAGGTAAGGTAGGGCTTGGGTCCGAGCGATAATTTCAGTACAGCAAGCGTCTATAGGCTATGGTGACCGCTTACCATCAGGTGGGCCATACGACTATTTGCCACCCTTTTGCCATAAAAAAAGTTTACTTGTGATCATTCTCTTACAATGTTTTGAAAAAAAATACTGCAAGGAGAAAAACATTTATAAAAAAATATGAATAATATTCATTCTATAAAAATTACCCCGTAACAAATTATTTTACTAATTACGTATCGTTTCAAGCTTTCATTTTATTAATTATAATAATTCCATGACAGTCGAATAAAAAAGCGCTTATCGACCATTCCCGATGCCACCTTTTAACTGCCTTTAAAGTTTTACGAGGGCGAATGTTCCAGCTAAAGTCGGGGTCGTAACGAGAGATTCGGCCCCAGTAATTGTTGAAAAATGTTATTCCTACCCCATTTGGGACCGTTTCAGTGGAGAGATGTAATAATTAAAAGTTACAAGTGAACCTAGATAACCAAGAATTGATATTGTAACGAGGGGCCTGTGAAGTTATAAAAGTTGGCAGCAGCGTAGTCTGTTTCTAATGACCTTTTTTTGCAAAGTCGTATTGAAGAGATAAAGATACTGGTATAACAGATTTTCCGAGCCATGGAATACGGAAATTTTGGACAGGAGCAGTAACCTCAAACTTCAGAAGTTAACCACGTTAAGGTAGGGTATAGCGGATTTCAGCTCGATTTGGAACATCCGTTTGGGGTAGTAACCTCCACCTTACAGAAGATCACAGTAAAATAACACTACCTTTTGGTGGTGTTATAGTATCTGTCTGTGAGTAAGGTTCCGGGGCTCCACGGGGTAGGACACTGGATCAGGGTAGGCAACAGTACGAGTGATATTTTTGGTGTTAAGAGCGTCTATAGGCTGGTGGCCACTTAACACTTACCATCAGGCGAAACATACGCTTGTTTTTTTTTATTTTTATAGCGAGGTAGGCAAATGACTCTACCCCACCTGATGTTAAGTGGTGATAAAGTCCAAACGCGAAGGTACAGCAGTTATAAACTGCTAAACTAACCATACTCACCTTGCCGGCCTGCAAAGATGCTTCTTCACGCCCCTCTTGAAGGATCCCAGATAATAGGAAGGAGGGAACACGTGCGCGGGTAGAGAATTCCACTTACGAATAGTACGACAAAAAAATGAGTCACCAAATTTCTTTGTTCGTGAAGGAATAGTGGGCACAGTAAGCCGGTGGCAACGTTGACCAGCGCGTGTGGTCCTCTGAAGAAAACGTGATGGAGGGATAAGGGAGAATAACTCCTCAGAACACTCGCTGTGGTATAGTCGGTAGAATGCGCTTCATGATGCCACATCGCATCGTAATTATACAGACTCGAGTTTCTTAGTTACCTCTTCATCGCCAATGATGCGGGCAGCGCGCCGCTGCAACCTATCCTAGGCATCGCGCAAGTACTTAGCGGAGCTATCCGAGAGGTGCGAGCAATATACCACGCAAGACCGCACTTACGTTTTGTACTACAAGCACAGTTGATCGGGCGTGAAAAAACCCGGCACATTGTTCAGACCTCCGAGTTTGCGTGAAGCTGTTTTGATCATGGTTTCGATGTAGTCCTTCGGATTCTGAGCGAACTTCCATACCGAGCATGGTAATGTTGCTCTGTAGCACCATTGTTGTGCCCTAAAGAGAGGGAAGGAGAAGGGATGGCGATGTTTTTGCCGTGAAAGCGCAAGCCATAGTTTTCTTGGCATTGAATCTAACCAAGTTCCTGGTACCTTTCTGTTCAATGACCAGATTCTCCCGTTTCTCCTTGGTTTCTACCTGTCCAGCCGCTGCGTGTCCAAAGTTTCTGGCATGCACTGTACTATCGTCTGCATAGCAATGAATATTCGCAAGTGCAATCAAATCATTGATATGTAGCAGAAAGAGTGTGGGGGATAGAACGGAACCCTGAGGAACACCGGTATTCACTAACATGAACTGCTAACTACATCCATCCGTAAGGACGCGAATTCTACGCTCATACAGGAAGTCAGCTACCCAGGCGCAGAGCTGAGCAGGCAGACGGTATGCAGGAAGCTTGGGGAAGCTTTTATGGCAGACTCTGTCAAGGCTAATAGCCACAGACTCTCCCCGCCTGTCTATAGCTTCACCCCAGATGTATGTCACGTACGCTAGAAGGTCACCCATCGATCGATTAAATCCAAATTGACGATCGTGAATTAGAGAGTAATCTTCTAGGTAGCGGGTCAGATGGTTGTTAAGGACCTTTACTAAGACTTTACACAACACTCAGGTGACAGCTATCGGCCGATAGTTATATAGTTAGTTGTATAGCCGATAGTTAGATAGTTATATCGGCCGATAGTTATATATGTTAGTATAGGGCCGATAGTGCCACGGGCGGCCAGCGGGATTTCTACGGGGTTCCCTGGCCGGTGGGTCGATGCAGTCCTCCCGGTATCGGTTCGACGGATGCCTCCACTGGACCGAATCCGTAGCGGCAATCTCCACTCGAGGTCTGGTTGTACGTTGGCTGATCCCGAAACGCGCGTGAAGCACTTCACGGGTTGTAACAAACCAGGCGGGTGTTAGGCACCCTACCACCAGAAGAGCAGATGGAAGCTCTGATATTCCTCAGTCGCTTCTTACGACACCCGCGGGAAGTGAAGGGGCGGGCGGTGGGTGGTTTTCTTTCTCCGTCACCACACGGATAAAAACCATTTGTGTGAATCAATTAAGTTTTCAAGGTGGAGTAGAAATGAGGTTTGGGTAGGCAACATATAAATTATACTTTGTTAACACATAAGCATCATAAGCTATGGTGGCTGCCAATCTCCTTGGGTGAAAAGTAATTTTATTTGATTATATTGCTTGCTATATTTCACTTGTAACGTACTATAGTACGGAACCAGTCGTGTGACAGTCCGTCATACTTAGAAGGTGTTTAAGAATGTTTTCGGAATATTAAAATTTTCACTACTAGTAAATTGTAGATATATTTTTTGGGCCTAAGGAAAATCGTTAAATAAATTGGCATTGTTTGCACCTTTTATAACACAACCCTAAGCGTTTATATTCTAAGCTGACAGAGCCACAACACTCTTAAGTGTAGTACCGTTTTAAAGGCTCGTTATAAAATCCCAAAACGTTGTGTTGGCTTGGCATGAGTTAACAACGCCAAATTTTAAAATTTTACGTAAGCATTTATATAATTTTTTTTTAAAGAATGGATGATGTTAAGTTGGTACAAACAAAAGTATGTCCTGCTTGGTTGTAGACATAGAACTTCATGGGTTGTATAGATAGCCATAGATCAAGTTACCCGAAACTGTCTAATTCGCTAGGTGACTTGGTATAAGAATCACAACCTATTGAGCAAATTTAAGAGTTAGTAACTACATGTTTGGCTGTCTATCATGTGTCTATACATAGCCATCATAGCCTACAGATGATTACTAGCGCTTTAGACATCATAAATCCATCTACTTTACAGTAGCAGTCTTTATTTCACTGCAGTCTTTAAATAATAACCTAGATTTCTTCACTGGTACACTTCAACGATGATTCATAAGAAGAGGTTTTGCCTAAAACATGAATTTCGTAGAGTTAACTACCTATAAAGTAAGTAATCCACAATATTTTGTTGCAGAAAAGAGGACCATCCGAAAACCTGGCTTAGCGGGAAGGCCCTGGGTCCTGGTAAGTTATGTACTAACATATCCTTAAGCTTTACTTGACAAATGTTCGTTGTCCATGACGCGGTCTGTTTTGTCACATTTTCTCGTTTTTCTTTGTAAGCGATGGTGTATTGTTTTGTGCTTGGCTGGGTGGCCCGATGATTTATTGAAAAGAACATGCAACATGGTTCGCGATTTTCGAATTGGTAAACGCAATATGATCATTGAAGATCATTCAAGAAAACAATAAAGGCACAACAAAAAATTTCCGCCATTCTAATGATGACTTCGACTTCGATAAGTTTACATTTTTATTGTGTATTAAATAGTTTTAAAGTACATAAAAAACTTTGTAATTGCCAAAGTTTGTTAGGAAATATCAAATCAGGTATCAGTTCATGGCATACAAGCTTACAAAATGAATTTTACCGTTAAAAGGCTTTGAAGTTAGCAGCAGGCATAAAATTTGATATTCTTTTTTAACTTCCATGGTTATTATTATTTCCGCCAATTATAACGCTTTTATTAATATTATTGTTTGTGAATGTTACGTAATGTATTTGGTGTTATAATAAAGTGTTAATCTATCTTATCAATCTATCTATCTTTCTAATTATTGCCAATAGGTGGAAACTAAATTTCTTGACGTTCTAATGTATCACCAAGCATTCACGATGTTATAAGCCACGGTACGAAACTCTAGCGCTAATAGTTATTGCGCAGAAGTAAAAATTATATGTCTTGGGGGGAAACGAGGTGTGCGGGTGGGCGTGCGTTGCGTCCTTTGGCTCTCCAGTCGTACCCACGCGCAGCTATCCCCTCCACGTTTTGTTCAGCGCTAAGGTGACGTGCCGCGACCTGTAAGTACGAGCACATTTTTAATCAAACGCGCGAATAGGAATGATAACTAATTTTTTTTTCTTCCTTTATCAGGTAGATTAACAAAAAGTATTGGACACGTATTTTTTCTTTTTTCACATAATATAAACATTGCAGAGATATATTGAATTGAAAAGTCGAATGACGTCACGTTTGAGTACATTTTTAAGTGAAAATTCACTAAAAAGTGACGTCACGAGCCCCTACTCCCAAACTTTGACGCGCTATAACTTTGTATTTTTTTGGTTGATTGCCCAAAGAAAAAATACGTGTCCATTATTTTTTGATCATCTAACTGACGGACTAAATAGAATTTCGTTTACTGTACCCCGTCATCACCCCTATTGTTTTCGCATCTATCTTATCATACAAAAACAAGTGCCGACCATGACACACAGACGCCACTTTTTAGCGACAGAAAGATAAATAATAAGACAGGAATCTCATTTTGCATCTTACATTTGCAGTAACGTTACATTACATCAAAATGCTCTCTTGATTTTCTACTTTATTGTAGCATACGTAAAAACGTTATATTTACATGGAAATGCTTTAATTCGTACCTCGGAAGGAAAAACGGAACCCTTATAAGATCGCTTTGTTGTCCATCCGTCCGTCTGTCAAGACCCTTTTTTCTCAGGAACGTGTAGGCATCAAGCAGAAATTTATATCAAATACTCAGGTCTACTGTCCCTTGGAGCTGTAAAAAAATCAAACTTCTAAGCCAACGCAATCAAAAGATACAGCCGTTAGTGCCGCAAATTTTAGCAAATTTTCGAAACTCGCAAGAGAATCAAAACCTATAGGGTAATTAACTAACTCAGAATTTTGAAATTGGATACGAAGCAACTTAAAGAACAGATCAACAGTTAATTACCTGTCAGAATTTCACATCAAAAAAGGCTTTTGAATTATGATAAAGGATCTGATTGACTTTTATGCACAGAAAACTGTTAACTAAATCTGTCAAATCTTCTAAATTGTTATTTAATGGAAATAGGAACGTCGTGGAAAATTATTGCTCCTAAATAATGCTGGTATATCTTAATAATTTTGTTAACAGAAGAAAATCATGTCATTCGACCCAGTTACCAAACTTGATTCAAAGTCAAATTTTCATTATTCAAATGGGAAGCATAATACAACTCTTTTGAATCGTCCAAATTTTAATAACCTACCATTACCCTTCGCTTAACTTTAAGATAAAAATAACAAACATTAATGCTTGATTAGATTTAATACGATAATATTATCGTTTATCTTAGTGCGCCTGAATCTATGATGGCCATTTACCATCAGGTGGGTCATGCATCCGATTTCTATCGTGTGTTTTATAATAAAAAAGCCTATTAATTTTATGTATAATTATTTCGAATATTATGAGGAGCTTGATGGCGCGGGTGGTTAGCGCATTCGGCCTGCTAACGTGTAAGTTAAGCAACTTTCGCAATGGTCGGTCGTTGGATGGGTGACCAAAAATTTATTATATCGAGAACCTCCATGCATCAGAAGGCATGTCAAACCGTTGCTTGGTCCCGAATGCATCTGCTGTCGTTAGCGCCCACAAATCCGCCCTGGGCCCGCGTGGTGGGTCATGGCTGTATATCTCTATTCCATCAATAGGGAAGGCCTGTGCCCCAGCAGTGGGCATATTAATAGGCTGATGATGATTCACTGTTCATGCAACAAACAACCTCCTAACAGATGGAAAGAAGGATAATTGAGATAAGTATTTAGTTAAATACCTTTCAGTTCAGGGATCTTGAAAATACACAAAAAATGGTATTGTTTTTTTAAACTCGTTCTATTTGAATGAAACCTTTAAAGTGTTTTTATATGCCCCTGATGCTCTGGGGCATCTTCATCGGGGTGGGTTCGTTCACGGACAAACACCTAGCAGGTGCGCGGTCATTCGGAAACGGAAGCCGCGATCACACCCGCCCTCTCGGCATGCACTAGGGGAACGCGGTCCTCATAGTGCGTGTCGGGTGACGGTGCAGGAGTATTGTCTGGTTTTCAGTGACCATGTTCAGGGCGTTACGTAAGGCCCTGTTTTTGACCCGGACACAGGGTTGGCCGGAATGAACAGGGAGGAGTCCCATATACCTTCTTCTCGCTCCCCCACGGGTTGAAGGATGCCTAAGGCATTTCCCAGACATACAAAAATCGGAAAATTATCCGAAATTGCTATATCTTGCAACTGATGTGCTGTATCCATATTTTTTTGTGAGATATGGTAGGTGTAAACATAGACCAAACAATAGTCTAAGTAGGCCTAGCCTTCTACACAGTCCCTTGTCTTCGAAGGACTTTTGAAGATTTTCCCAGGCCTCAAATGCAGTCTGTCTGTGTCTGACAATCGAAATAACTGAAGTTTGAACACTCAGACAAATTCATGCGAGCGCCTTGTCCTGTTTCTTCTTGTCTTTACACTCCGGCTTACCATCTTTGCCGATAATTATGCATTCAATAAAATCTTCCTGTATGAGTACCATTCCCATTTGGAACTTTCATGTTGTGTAGTTGTCCACCACGGAAAGTTTTTCAATGATATATTGATTACTCATTTTGAAGATGGATTATATTAAATAAAGAAACAAAACCGAAAATAATATACTTTAAATCTTAAGGCTCTGCTACTATATTGGAGGAAAATGAAAATATAAACTTGCTTGTAAAACTTGTATTCCAAGACTTCTCGTTTTTCACGTTACTAAGGAAACGTGTGTCAGCAGTTATTCCGGCTTATAAAAATTGGAATATAAAAAAGTCATTAAAAATGTACTGAATGTGACATGCTAATGATGAACGAGAAATTTTTCGGCAGAGTAATAAAAGTTTTGCTTTAAAATAAAATGACACTGAATACACGGTCTCAAATAAGATAAATTTAACAAATGTAGCATTTAGGAATCCAGTGAAGCCATTGGGAATAACAATCACGAAATTATGTTGGGGATGGTTGAACCGTACTCTGTTCCATAACATGTTAAGTAGGTTTGACATGTTTACAGATTTAAGTAATTAAATCTCCATGTAAAAAGGGGATTTTCTCTGAAAAAGCTTAAGGATATTTCTTTGGGGTGAGTTAAGGATCAGAAATGGAATATGGAATAGCATGAGATAGATTTTCATGTCGTGAGATGATTTGACAAATCAAGTTTTTGCGAAAATCCCAGGGCTTTTGAGAATATGCCGGTAATTAGACAATGGCAATGACATTTTCTCAATCTTACTGAAAAAGAGGATTTTTGAAAAAGCGCGAGTCGTCTCAGTAAGGCTGAAAAGTATCTTTGCCTTATTACAAATATTCTTGAGTTTCTATGTTCTTTGGTTCACACAAGGTTAGGTCAGTGTTGTGACCATGAATCGCCAGAAAATAATTTTGCTAATTATCCGTGTTTTCGTAAAAAAAACCTAGGATTTTCACGAAAATTCGATTTATCAAATCATCCTACGACATACATAATATAAAATGTAGCAACTTCGAGTAATGACTGGTTAAACTTTTTTTATCAAAAGCTTTTAAGCAAACTCCAAAATTGAATCCAATTTAAATTTTTTTGATGCTATTGATAAATTGTAAATAGTCTTTAACAGCCTTACCACCAATAAATAGGTTTGTATTAAGCATTTATACCTGCTACTTATAGTACGAAGTATTAATAAATACGAAATATTTTCTAATCGGCAACACATATATACAAGTTAGTCTCTCCTAGAATAATTAGACTTAAATTCGTTAGTCTAAGTCCGAAGCATGCTATTGGTTTAGAGTTAGACTATTGATTTAGACTATCGTCTGTACTACGGCGAGTATTCTGAGGAGCTATCGATCAAGTGAAATTGCGCCGTAACGTCAATCGATTCGTATTAATTTTTCATTTTGCGAATATTACTAAAGACATGATAATAATCTAAATTCAACACGGAGATAATTATTTCCCCCAACGGTCATCCGATCTACGACCAGCTACTAGAATAATATAGCAAACGAATCAGAAAACTTCCAACTCAAATGTAGTGGGCAACTCCACAGCTGATCCAATTGTAGGGATTGAATAGGCTTCAGTGAATGGAAAGCTCTGGAATGCACGCTGCATGCGGCAGCTAACAGCATTCAGAAGTTTTGCGTACCGTACC